AGACAACATACCATCACGAACAGCTGGCTATCGTGCGAAGATAAGGCGGCATCGGCAAGACAGCTTCCTTGCTGCTTTCACTGCCCCGCGTCATAATCAGCTTTTACCCACCAAGTAACTCAGCACCAAACATACTTTAAACAGACAATCCGATTAGGAGACGGCAGAAGACGAGGCACTTCTGTCGATTGCGAGCCGTGTCCTGTAAAGTCTCAATTCAAGCACAAGGAGCGTCACGTGGACACCAGCCCGGAAGGCGAGACGGACCAACGGCACCCAGTTTGATCGTCAGTGCCTCCATTACACGCTAGCAAGTCAACTACTGCCCTCGTCGAAGCTTGTGCCACCTTGCACCTGGCAGACTAAACAAGACTCTCAAAGATTAGCGGTGACCAGGCATATGTAGCACGTGCCCGAGCCAACGCAACTTATTCAGTGTTACCAGATTTATGAGGAGCTAGCATGATTATCCTACCTAGCACTCGCCTACGCACATCATCGTTGTGGACACGCTGATGCAATACGACACTAGCAAGGCTTTGCAGACAACGATGATCAAAGACGTGAATGCGCGGCAGCTCTTCGGACCAAAGTGGCCAAGTTTCACTACCATAGAGCTGAACGGCCCTCACTTTGGTCTTGTGTACACGGCTTTTGAGACAGGGAGAAATTCCCTTCTGTCGCCATACATGCCGCAATGTGTGCAATGTGTGAGCTGATGTCAGTTTCTGTGAGTCCATCCTTGCTGATGCAGCTGCTAAGATAAATGTGTTGATCAACAACCACGAATTCCTCGTTAGCAAGGGTTAAGGGGGGCATAAAGTGGCTGGTGGTCCTGCAGCAACACTTTGCACTTTGAAGGTGCGAAGTGCATAACAAATAATGGGACGACTCTAGATAGGCTATTCAGGGTTGATAGTACCACTGCAACCTTGTCGAAAAGCAAGACGATATCCTCCGCATAATCAAGAGCAACTGACATTTCACTAAGCAGGACTTTAACACCTCCATCGTGAGGTTCTGCAAGGGAATACATCATGGTGTAGTCCACGACGAAACTGAACAAAATTGGAGAAACCGGGTTACCCTGACGAACACCATTTGTGGTCGTAAGACTATTTGTCAGGTCACCGTAGACCCTGATACGGCTTGCAGTGTTCGAGCCTAGAGCACGTGGGATGCTCCCATATTTCATAAGAACAACTTTCCGCGAAAGTATTTTGAACAGAATCGATCGATCGACTGAATCGAACCCACTCTTGCAAACGAGGAACACAGCGATTGTCGGTTTGCGGTATGCTTGGCCCTGGTCTAGCATCTGCAGCAAAGTGAATATATGGTTTATACAGCCACGCCGTGGGCGGAAACTTGCATGGTTTTCCGTTCTCCAGTGAGGCATCGAACGAAACTCCAGGCTAGTAATATTGTCACAACTGGCTTGTGCTACTACTCTTTGGTTAGAGCGATCTGTGCGACTGCCGTTCTTGTATACTGCCACTATAATCAATTCGCTCCAGTTAGCTAGAGCAATCACTTCCTTCCAGGTATGTTTGAATACGGAGGTCAGCGGTCTGCAGAGGACGTCACCTCCATTCTTAAATAGTTCAGGTACCAGGGAATCTGAGCCAGCAGCAGGAAAAGGACTGAGGGCTGTGATCGCCTTTCGGACAATGTCTTCCACCGGAGGCTCTAGACTAACAGTCCATGGCTCGTCCTGCATCAACTTAGTAGAAATAGGTCCTGGAGCAGCGAACCAGCTGAACTGATCTCGAATGTGTTCCGCCCAACCAGCCATACAGAGCTGTTTCTTGTGTATCAGTGCACTCGAGCTGTCGCTGATTGTTCCACTGACGCCTGGTTTTCTGCGACCAGTGGTGCGGAACAACTGGGAGAGCTTGCGGTAGTTGCCTACTGGTCTTGCTTCTTCCATTTCTTGAGACCGACTGGTCCACCAGGTCTCCTTGTCAGCGGGTAAGCTCCGCTTTAGTTCATGCCTAATAGCCCGTCTGGCCACATGGTGTTCAGAGATAGCCGGGAGGTTTCTTCTAGATTCCATCAAGTTCACTGACCTCTCGGATATACTGTGGCTGGTACGGTGGCGACTTAGTGTGACACAAGCAGATGTTCCTGCGTCATGCATGGCGCTGAAACCCACCAGTGAGTAAATATGTGCCCTTGTAACAGCAAGCACAATAAAAATCACATTACTGTTTAGCACTCATGCATAAGCATGTAATGTTTCGTAAAATATGGTTTGCGTCAACTACAGACACAGCTTCTCACTGGTTGTGGAAAGTGCCTGCCATGTTTACCCCTTATTTTAGCATTAGTAACATTATTATTTAATATGACGATGATTTAACATTGCTGCACCATTCTCCAAATAACGATACTGGTATTGGTACCGGTTGAAAAGACATTGTTTATTTACAAGCCACTATAGCAAACTACTAAATCCATATAGCAGACAATCAGTCCTCGTAAGAGTTGAGAAAAGTCACATGTGCTGTTGGTCTTCATCACCTCGATGGTCATTAACACATTACTCATAGTAGTATAAGACAATTCATCGCAACCTTCTCCATCACATATATTTTGTATTAGTTGTGAGCACCGTAGATAGAATACAATGAGTATGCAAATTAAATTCATCTCTACCTATAGTTTGCTACAAGGAGTAATGTGTAGACTGCGTTTAAAGACAAATTAGTTATCCACACTACGTGACTTCAGAGGACGCACATAATGTATTCAAGTACCAAAATATAAATATTGTTGGAATTGTTCCATTAATAAATGTAATTCCCAAATACACAGGTGCATTGCATCCAACACAGCAACATCAAAAGCTGGACCACATATTTGCTTTGAAATCATATCTTAGTTGTAAACAGAATAGCGCAAAGCATTACGGGTTTAACGTCTGAGCCAACTAGAGGGCTTCTCAGTTCACATCTAAATTACTAAATCAGACAGATGACCAATTGCTCTGTTTGTAAGCACCGTTGCTTTTCTGTCATATCAAACTTGTAACTGATGCGTGCGTGTAATTATAAGCTAGTTTGTTTACATCCATTTTCCATTTCCCTTCACTACTTACGCTTATTCAATGATACAAACGCTCAATTCTACCTAGCACGATAAGTGCAAGCCAGTTAAAGCATAGGTTTTCACATGGAATGCAACTATTGTGACAAGCGTTTCCAGCTGTGGCTCATTGGCTTAGTAGCAGACGTTTAGGCTGGTTCGACTCCCAGCCTTGCTACCTACCTGATGTGTGTAAACATATACATATAAGGAAAACACCTTACATTCATTTACCCAGCACGTAGTTCGACATGCGGGTCCATATGTGCAAAACAGTTAGTAGCTGGAACGCTGTGTGCTAAAATTCGCCGTTTGCTAACCTGGGAAAAATTTTAAGTTATGGACAGATTATTTTCAGCTTTCGCCATCTACGTTTCAAATACACATTAGTTAATATCACAAGGAAAATATAAAATAGATTTAGATGGTCTTAATGTAATTTATTACGACCGGACTTAGTCGGGTAGCTAAATCCACCCGAACAGCCCCGGACTGCCAGTTCTTCCTTCGGCGTGCGCATTGTCCGCTTAGTGGTTTTAACCACATATTTTGACGACTTTAAACAATATTTCTTGATCTCAGTATTGGTCGCTTAGAATTAATCACTCTTCATTCCTTACTCACTATGATTCTAGCTGTCAGCGTTTGTTTAATGCTAACGCCCTGAATAATAACTCAAAGAGTAAACCTTAGCTGTATATGGTATACGGAACAAATGTGCGGTTGGCCACAATCGGTATGATGAAGAACAAGTGTGTATCTTTAGTTCCACTCCAAACAAAGCCGTTAGTAAGCAACAATAAAGCGATTTGCTCACCGATTACCTAGTGTCCACGATTGTTCTAAGTATCAGCAATACACTCACATAGCACTTTCTAATTATCATGAAAGTGAAATGAATAAAAACACATCGAGCATTCTGCACAATTATTAGATGAGAACGTTGGAAGAGGCTACTGCGTTGAACCGGGGAAAACAGTATAATCATTTCCATCCACATAACCGTAACTAATCAAGTGGTCAGCATTTGACTGGAGAACGTTAACTCCTTGCCACTCCCGGGAGCTGGCGTTTTGTCCTCATATACGGTAAGATGTCCTTAGTTGTAAATTTGAGTCACTCCACAGTAACTGTGTCACTGCACACCGCGCAAATTCATGGGCTACTTAGGATTCATGACGATCCATCAGTACTACTCACGCATCGTTTCCAAAACGATGAACGTTAGCCCCATATAATACACACCTATCGGGATTAAACAAATGTATTCCGCTCATATGAGGCCATTATATAAACCGTTGTGATTACACAAAATTATTAGTTCTATTGGTGTGTAGGGAGCAGGAGGAAAAGGTCTCGGCTTAAACCAACACAAAACATGAGTGCGGAATCCATCAAAATTCTAACCAGCTACATAAATAGGTTTAGTTAAACAAGCCAAAACTCCTCTTTACCAGGTTCTAACTCCCTAAGAGGAGACAGTAGCATTGAAACCACACTAATATCAAGGTACAACTGAGAAAAAGCGCAAAGCATACAAGTACCCTCAATGAAACCAATCCTTCCCTTGGCTGCAACACTAAGAAGAATGAAGGTACATGAAACAGCCAGCGATATCTTCCAAAGAAAATAGTTGATCAATTTAAAACCACCTAAACTGGATCGAGATGTCGCGTAAAAATTATGAACCATCCAGTGATACACCAAGAACTGTCCACATGTACAGAGATTCCATAAAATTGCCAATAACGTTTCAGAAGGTGACGAAGTAAAAAGCAAAATTCTAAATGTTAAATATACGAACCTAATAACAACAAATTTGTACGTTGAAACCCTCCAAAATTATATTTTTTCTGTATGTTCGAAGTATTGTCAAAGATATTGGATACGTAGTTTTGTTGTAGCATACTTACTTCAAAACAAAGGGTGTTTCGGATCGTTTCTACTACCCAGTTGCTATCATAGGCATTGGGCCATCCACTGAAATGGCCATTTTCAAAGACTGATACAGAAAATGGAAAAGCTGCAAAGAACACAGGAATGCCACGATGGATATTTTACTATTCAAAACGAGCTAGGCGAGCAAAAGTCAAGGAGGATGTTGAGATCATTATTTGAAATAGATTATAAATACAATAACCAATTACAAGTATTTAAATAATGACAGCCCACATTATCGATTGTAGGACGCATATGGCGCTTGCTTCCTGCGCAATACACGGTAGGCAACCGCGTTTTACTCACAACAAATTTTTATTTAGTTTTGACTCCCATTTCCGTATTTGTAATGTGTTTGATCATGCACGCAAAGCTCTTGAATATAGCTACTGTGACATTGATGAAGAAAAGCATGTGAGTTATGCAATTGCGGTTTATGACTCGGATTTCAGCTGCAACCTGAGGTCATGTTACTTGAACCCTGACCAAGACGAAGTGCCAAGTAAGATTTACCATGTTTCCCTATGTGTGTCCTTACTCTATGATTAAACAAACATACAAAGTTGGCATTAAAATAAGTAAAGTTGCGATATTACTTACACAAACTCATTGGATATTCTACAAAAGCTGTAATGAACAAACGAAAAGAGTCAATCAAGCATGTAGCAATGCAATTAAGTGCATGAATGCGATATTCACGTTAAGATATTTAAGATTACATTTGGTATTGGTATAGTTTACTTTTTGTTATGTATTCTTAATTCCATGGGTAAACGCGGATCCTTGCTTGGCGGCTGTTCGGGAAAGTGACTGTGGCAATAAAAAATCTTACCATGACCACCAAAATGTCCAGTAAACTTAATTTTCCACTAATGTAGGAACTTACTTTGTAGCTGTACTTTGCCTGCAACAGGTCCTTTTTGATCTTTAGTCTTCTCCGTTACGTTGTCAAACAATTCACTTATTTGTTTTGCCCATTCGCTGCCGTTCACCGTTTGGGGGATTTCAGTAAACGAAATATTCAAAAGCGCTTGATTAGGGTAACCGCGTAGATATACCATCGTGCAATTCACCTCATTTTGTGTGATATTTTCAAGGGAAGTCACTGCTTTCGTGATCTGAACGAAAATATTGCAGGTGACCAATTGCGGTGAAACGATTAACAATGTATACCTAACAATCATAAATGTTCAACGTACGTAATGTCACTAAGATGCTAAAATGTGGAACAAGTTTGTCCACACCACTCACCCTATCACATACGTCAGCTTTTATTTTGGCTGCTTCGGGATTGTTTTTGTCTTCAAACGCCTCAACCCATAACATTCTCCAACCACTTTTGAGAATAATTCCCGTTACTTCGAAATCTTGCGCATGAAACAATAAGTGAAGAGACGCTTTAATTATATGATTCCGTTATCAAGCTAAAAGAAATCTTTAGACAATATTTCGTTAATCAGTCCTGTCATTTTCAAATGGTCGATGAAATGGATCCTATAGTACAGTCGATTGTTGGTATAAGCATTGCTCATCTCATTGCGAAGCAAAGGAGTGTACTATAAAGAGCAAAGTGCTTACCATTTTCAAATGCTTTCTGACAGCGTGAACCGATGATCACTAAAGAAAGCGCAAATAGCGGACCATTATTTGAAATTCTTGGTTGTCAAATTTCAAAGTAGTTAAATAGATAGTATTGTTTCAAACTAGTAAAATTAGGTTGATTCTTCCCATTTTGCTTCCAATAACCATCGCTTCAGATATTCTCAAATGAGCCTTAAAGTCGCAGAAGTTTAGTCATAAATTCACCTTTGTTGGCGACCCAGATTGCTCTATAAACTGATATTTTTTAACTCTAAGCACTTTGTCATGGTTTCGCATTCGATGGTGCTTTCAGTTTGTTTACGGAGTTTCACTCAGGTTCCCGTCTTACACGCTGTCTACTTGCGAGTGCAACGGCAAGCTTCATCATTGATTATGTCAAACGTTCTATTTAAACTGCTCTCGCAAGTTATTTACACATACTTACAACAGCCGCACATTTATTTTTCCACTCTTTATCCATTGAAATTACCTGAAAGTACCGTACGGTGCAACAATTGTTCAAACATCAAACAGACTCCAGCTGCTTATTCTAAACGTGAAAAATCGATCCATTCGTCGTGCTTCAGTTCTTTCGGTATCCTAAGATCGCAATAGATAAACACAGTAGATGAAAACCCATTGATACTAGTACTAGGTCAATACGAAGCTCCGGCAATTTAAAGGTTCTATATCTATCCTAATCTGGTTATTACTCGATAGCATGTTTAGACACATGCTGGGAAATGTAGCTATACTAATATAGTACAGAGTTCAGAATGATTACGGGTTTGTAAATCAGTCAGCAGTGTTCCACCTGGATGGCAACATATGTGATTTGATCGCAAAATTTACATCACTTGCACTAATTTGCTCACAGCAAGCCCAGTGGTTAAATTTACGGTAAGACTCCTTCGTGTACTAGTTAGGTAAATTTGTATCTTATTGCATTTTCATAGGGATAATTATATTAGATAAACGGAACAGCTGGTGTGACTTACAGAACACCAATACCGTCAGAGCTTTCAGTAGCATGTTGGTCCGAAAATATTGCAGTGAGGATGTGTAAAGCCTATTTATACCCGATGAGGTCTGTTGGGTGGACCCATTACTATCCACTCATGGAAAGACACCTCGTTAAAGCTCATGTGGTGTAATTGTTCATCCTGTTCCCTTGCTCCCAGAGCTCACGCCCATAAACCGTAAGTGGACGAAAAAGTGTTTGGATACAATGTACACATGCCTTGAGGATCCCAGTTGGACACATTTTTCAGATACGTGGCACAAACCTACCAAAATTATCGGCGCCAGGTTTTCCAGATTGGAGCGTACCCTGTGTCGCTCAACGTATGGACAGCCGATTAGGCGACGCGCACCCAACTGTGCACTGCTTGAAGCAAGCTTTACTGAAACAAAATAAGGACGACCGGAAGCAATCAAACTTGTGACATGACATATAGATATTTTCTAGTTTGTTAGCTGCTGTGAAGTTACAATTTGAGGCAGCTAAATGATTTATTTTCAGTTCTTGTTTAACGACGGGTCCCTTCTAACAATATGACATTCAAAGCTGATAGGTGTACTGTCTCTGACGAAAAACACTGTAATTCTCACATTTTGAACTAATAGCTAATCTCTATCCTACATCATTGTGTCATTAGCATTGTTCCCATGTGATACACCAGTTAACCTGCATTCAGTTATCACGTCGTCTTGCAAAACTACAAACATCCGTTGACTTAAATGGTTTATAATCCTTACCTGCTAGAAAACCCTGCATTCCATAGTACTTTTCAAACTACGTAACTTCATTAGGTAGATAAAGAAGCAATTGCGCATTAAGGATTGTTGAGCAATGCATAGCATGCCCCCTGATATGGGAATTATTGCGAAAATAAAAATGCTTGATAAAGTGAAAAGCTTTTGGTCGATTCACCATAATTTGTGGAAGAGCGAAGATGGCGTATTAAAAGCATAAGTCTATGACTTCATTGGTTACAGTTTTGGCAACACACCGCTTGATCACGTTTCCTAGCCCCTTCGCTAACAAGTACAAAATCAAATGCAGATGAAACAAAGCATCGTCAACTCGTTTTTTAAACATCGCCAGATCGGAGGCAGAGACGACATAATTAGGGAGGGCGTTCCAAAGCTCGAATACGCGCAGGGAAAAGTAATTGCTAAGGCATTCAAGCCGGCTAAACTTTATTGTCAGGTTCAGATGATGAAATCTTAGGTTAGTGTTGCGGTTCAATTCCAACAGCGGACGACAAATGTGGTTTGGGTTCTTCATATTTTGATAAACCATTTTGAGATCTTTCGTTAAAGCCGATAAAGACTGCTGCACATTCCTAGAGATTTCAGTCTAAGCTGACAGGGCAGGTGAAAGAGGCCCCTGACGTTCTTTAGTACTTTTCTTTGAGAAATCTAGAGAGTAATCGGATTATGTTTCTCCTACGACTGCCACGCCTGCATAGCATATTTCACTTGCGGTCTCAAGTAGGCGTTAAGCATTTCGAGAAAGAGTGTGGGTTCAAACCGACTAAACGCTTTGAGAAGAAGGCCGAAGTTTTGATCTCCGGCTCTCGACGACTTCTCTAGTTGTTTTGAGCATCTGAGATCTTCCTGGAACAGCATACCCAGGTCACGCTCCGGAAATGCCTTCTTTAAGGTGTTGTCTCCAAGCCTGTAAACGCTCACTGGCTGATGACGCAGATGGATCACCTTACACTTAGCTATGTTCAACTGAAGCAGATTAAACACTGACCATTCATAAATACCATCAAGGTCATGTTGGAGTAGATCATGATCTTCCTTGTTACTAATTGCCCGCCATCTCTTGACTTCATGGGCAAAAAGCAGGAGATTTGTGGCGATAAGCCTTGCCAGGTCGTTGTTAAACACGAGGAATATTTGCGGTCCCAACACCGAGCACTGTGGGACACCAAATTCCAACTTAATCGGGTTGGAAATTGATCACTTAGCATGCACTTGAATCTTTCTTTGGTGCAGAAACTTACCAATCTAACCCAGCATAGGACCTCTGATTCCGTAGCCCTGTAGCCTGTGAAGTAGGATGCGGTGATCTAGTTGGTCGAGAACTATGGGGAAGTCCAGATAGGTGACGTTAACTCCGACCTCATCATCAGCCACTTCCGTCCATCTCGTGCCATCAGCGGGTTGGTGGTGCATGACCGCTTTTGACGGAAGGCATGCTGCTCCGCTGCCAAGGTGTTACCTTTTTTCCATATAGTCCATTAAATCCACAGCGACGACTGTCTCCATTAATTCAAATCCGGGGCTACAGGGACTTCAGCCGGAACCACTACATCTCAGACACCGACTAGCGGCGGCCAACGCTAATCACATCTGCAATAGCTGATTGGAGGGTTTATTTTAAAGCACAACCATCCTACACTTATTAGCATGACTTATTGATCAAACACGCACAAACCATGTGTGACTGGGCACTACAACTTATTGCACTCATTTACGGACGGATATTGCTATGCGGCATCAATACGCACAAAAAAACTAGAGGACCGGAAATCTGAGTTGGTGATAGCTATCCGCAATCGTAAGTAAAGCAACCATCGTAATAAGGCTAGACTTTACCGTGGTGCGTTGGTCTGTGTGTCCCAGAGATCCACTGAGCAGTGCTTGCTGGAGCCTTTTGCATTTTGAGTCACTCATACCAGGGTGGTGGATGGCTAGAGGTTAGATACACCCAGGCTCATGACCATCCTGTTTGGGGATTAGAGTGACGGTGGCCGCTAATTCTTTAAAACGGACTCCATGTGGCATACTGTCAAACCTGCTGGGCTGCGATCAGGTTTCTGAACTAAAGGCTTTGATTGGGAACCCCAATAGTTCTGCTGTTAAGCCATAGGTAACATAACGTCATCTTGTCCACGCAATACAGTGCATTTCTCTCCCAACGATTTCTTAACGGGTGAGTTCATTTTGGAGCATATTTGACCTACACTCATTAGTATGGCGTACGCGGCCAAACACTTGAAAATCAAGTGCGGGTAATGAAGTAATTCATACTACCCTCATTCAACATGGACATGGTTGTGCTGCATCAAGGAGCGCAAAAGTGTATTGGTGAGCCGATAAAACGACATCTCCATCCGAATTCTTAATGCTATCTGACCACGTAGTTAATTCCATCCCAGACGTGATCAGCTTACAGCGTAACACATAAGCACGCTCACGATGCCCAATAACAATCGAACACTGGTAATATTTGCATCAGTGTTTAGAAACAGACTCTATAACTAGTCGCGAATTAAACGGTACTAATAGTAGGTTAGAAGAAAATATATCTTAGCATCCGCAGAATGGGCAAGTAATTCGGTTCCAATATGATACCTAAGCTCCTGAACATATTGGAAGCTCGCTCCATGTGGGTTATTTTTGAGTAATCAGCACTGAATGCAAATAAATTCAGTTCCATTCTCCTAGAATCAAATGGTTGCTTATTTCTGATGATACAGTCATAATAAGATAGATAGACAGCAAAACTGCCACACTGTACTGCTGCCGTTAGACAGATGACAGCCTGATGTATATTAAAGAATGTTTAGCAGCACAGCATGATAATCTGACGTCAAGCAATTCCTATTATTATGAAGCTTCCCAACATCACAATTATTTTACAAATTTGTTAAGTAATGGTACAAATGATGATTAGACAATGCAGTATTTGGTAGTTGATGTTTGTCCAAAAAAAACGTTTCATAACG